TTTCGTCGTCATCGTCGTCAACACCACCACCACCGCCGAACCCAGCCTGTCCACCTGCTGCCGTATCACTACAACGGTCGGCATCATATGCCTCCTCGTGTTCCTCGTTGTTCCTCCCCCTCCTCCTCTTCCTCCTCCTCCTCAACGCCCTCATGATCATCATCGTCCAATCATCACCAGCATTATCAGCATCACCATCATCAGAATCAACAACAGCAGCCGCATCAGCACCAGCATCAGCATCATCACCAGCAGCAACATCATCATCAGAAGCAGCAGAAACAGCGCCGTAATCATCATCGGCAGCACCCCCATCGCCATCAGCATCATCATCAGCAGCATCACCATCATCATAATAAGCAGCAGCCTCATCATCACCAGCATCATCATCATCATCAGAATCACAAGCACCAGCATACCAATCAACATCAGCATCATCAGCATCATCAACAGCATCAGCATCAGCATCATCATCGTTAGCATCATCAACATCCGCATAATCAGCTGCAGCGGCAACAGCGGGAGCTGCATCATCATTAACAGAATCATCAACATCATCACGCGATGAAGTCAGTTTAAGCCAACACGGCTAAATAGAACATACATCCTTCACAGTCTATTCTGAGGTATGCATTGCCATACTCCTCCTCGGCTAGGCGCCAGCACGTCACGCAGCCGACAAGCAAGCATTCCTGCCCGCCCACATGGATGGCCGAGCCTCTGGCCCAAGCCGTGCTCACACCGCCGCCCTGAGGGACAGCTCACTCCGCCCCATCCAGGATCACGAACCCGCACCGATCCATGAAGAAGTCGATCGCATAGCCCGAGAGGCGCTTCGTCATCATGTCCGCTGCGCTCAGGTCGCTGGGGACCTTGATCAGCCTCGCGCGCCTCTCGTGGTAGATGCCCTGCACCCACAAGTACCCACAAGTACTGCGCGTGCAAGTGCCTCACCTTTCCCGCGCCGAGCCCCAGCGCCACGCCGCGCCCGGCCGTCGCGTCCGTCTCGACGACAAGGTACTTCACCATGCCGAAATCCTCGCACATGCTCTGAGCCCCGAAGCCGACGCTGGTGCCACACACGATCGCGTAGAATTCCGACTCCCCACTCGATGCGCAACCACCGCCTGGGCGTTAGCGGTCGCCTTGAGCAGGCGTGCGCCATGAGACAGCGCGATCCCTGTAGTGATCCTAGTCAGCACGCAACCCGCGTGGTCCGAGTCGCACGCCACCATCAGGACGTCCGGCTCGATCTGTTGGACGAACTGCCGCACGGCCCTCGGCCAGTGCATCAGGTAGCGCCCGATGCGCTTCACCATCTCCATGACCACTTGAGTCCGCCTGCTCATCCACCTCGCCACCTCTTTGGCCGCGAAGGACAGGTCGATCCTGTCCATCGCCAAGAATTTTATCCACATGCAGACGCTCTTGCACAGCGAAGCCTCGGCAGCACCGAGGGGGGGAGATTCCGTCAGCTCCTCCGCCGCCCTCTCGATGCTCGGCGACGCGACCGACTTGCTGCCCGTGTCAAGCCCGAGCCCCAACAAAGCCAAGACGATCTGGGCGCGGCGGGAGTCGGCCTCCCACTGCAAGCACGGAACGCCAGCCTCCGTCTCGGTGAGCTTGACAATCCTGTCGAGCAACGCGATCTCCCGCAAGTCGCCGTCGCCCCAGCCGGGAAATCCGCGCACCTTCACCAGGAAACACTTGGACAGCTCGGTCTCGAACCACTCCAGGGCGTCGTAGGATCTCCTTCTCGTCGCGCCTGCACAAGCACGGGCAGAATACACCTATCTTGAAGCCCATCTCGCGCGGCACCTCCATCACCCCGTCAGCGAAGTTCGCCGCTGCGCCCCTCGTGCCGCACACGCTATTGAGCAGCAGCGCGCAGTAGCCCTCGCGACGTCGCCCGGCCGGGAGCTGCACGGAAACCCGCCGGCTCGCCAGGCTGAGGAAGCGCGCCCGGCCGATGTCGATGAACATCAGCTTGCGCCGCCTGCTGTCGCCCCGCTTCCTGCCCATCATCTTGGGGAAGAACATATTGGCGCCCTCCTGCGGCGGGGTGGCCGAGAACGCATCGCCCCTGGAGACCCCAGCCTTCGTCTGGGCGCTCTTCAGCTCCTTCGCGACCAATATGCATCTCATCTCCGGGCGAGCGTCGTCGCCCTTGTTCACGTCCACCCGCTTGACCTGGAACTTGACCTGGACGAGCTGCGGCTTGGTCTCCTCCCAGCAGAGAGACTCTGGGACCTCCTCGCACACCTTCATCTCGCCCATGTACTCGAGCTCCCCCCCTGCCAGCCCGCGCCAACTTGGCGTCGAGCAGCTGGCCTGAGATGTTGTCGCGAAACTCATCGTACTCCTCCATGCCCCAGGCCACGGCGTCCTCCTCGCAGGTGACGCCCACAGTGAACGCACTCAGATCGCCATTGACCTTCAGCTGCGCCTTCGGGCCTCTGAAGATCGCTGCCGCCAGAGCCGGCGGGCAGCTCTGCGCCGGCCGCGTCTTCGAGCCTCCGACCAGAGGGACAGGATCATGCCGCTGGTCCCGCGATAGGCCCTCGTTCTCGCACCGGCGGGAGAACTCCGCCAAGACGCACTCGGAGTTGCTCATCCAGCCGGCGGGCTTGGGGACCAAGCCCATCTCGCCGTCGAAGTCGATCGATTGCTGGCCCCAGCAGCACTGGTGCCCCACAACACGCGCGACACCTTCCATCTTCGAGAGCCCTATCATGAAATCCAGCTTCCAACTCCAAGCACGGTCTGGGTGCTCGCGCAGAAAGTAGCGCCCCTCCTTCACCTGCTTGACGTAGATCTCCACGCAGAACCGATGGTGCTGAATGCCCTCGGCCACCTTCTGCTCGCACGCCTCTGGGTCGCGATCCTTGTTCAGGCTCATGATGGCACTGAAGGCCCGCCACATCGGCGACCCAATCAGGAGGCACGGCTTCTCTTCATCGATGATCGCCTCGCAAATCCTCTAGCGACCTGGGTCCAACAGGTCCCACTGCACACCACTCTCGTCCGCCAGGCGCAGGTCGAAAGCGCGCCCGGGGTTGCGGCCGAACGACTCCGCCCTACTCGCGAATTTGCCCAGACCGAACAGCTCTGCCACACGCACGTGGAAGAAGCCCAGCTCGTTGATGACGTCCTCGATCTCCTCCAGCAGGCTGGCGCCCACGGTACTCTCCGCTTCGGGGTCCGCCTCAGCACATCTCTTCGCGCCCTCGCCCGAGCGCTCCTCCATCGCCACCGGCGGAGGTTCGCCGCGAAGATCTCCAGGCCCAGAAGGCGCCGCACTCGGCGCCGCCGAACTCGACGCCGCTGCACCCGATGCCGCTGCGCCCGATGCCGCTGGAGGTTGACCTTGATCTGCTGCCACGCCAGGGGCCGCGCGACCCTCGACAACCTGCGCCGCCCCTGGCTCGATCGCTCGCCGTTCAGACGGCCTCTTCTCTCCACGTCGCCCCTCAGCTACCACCGCGCGCTTCCTCGTCTCGAAGTCCTCTTCCATGAGCTTCGCGACTCTCGCCCTGCGGGTCTCGCCGCGGCTGCGAGCCGGCAGTCCGGCCGCGTAGCTTTCGCGGCCTATGCAGCCCGGGGCGCGCCTCAACTTCTTGATCTCCACCTCGTTGCGGATGCGCGCGCCGCGGTCCAGGAACTCCCCCGAACCCGCGCCTGGCCGCGCTGCCCGCGGCTCCATTGGCAGAGGCGCCTCGTCGGACGCCCTCTCGATCGGGAACCGGGCAGCCGGCGCCTCGCTCCCGTCTCTGGGCGCACACGGCACTGGCCGCCACGGTGAGCCCTGCAGCTCCTTCAGCAGCTCGGCGTCGCAGCGGTCGCCGCCGGCCTTCCGCTTTACCGCCCGTGCCCAGATCACGCCCGTCTCCACGCCGATGCGCAGCTCCTGGCTCGTGAGCTTCACCCCAGGGAAGGCGCCGGTCAACCACTTGGCATCGAGCTTGTTCTTGCGCCCACGGTTCCTGCCCGCTGGCAGGTAAAACACCGCCTCGGCAAACGGCGGGAGCTCTCTTCGGCATTTCTTTCCACGAAGCCTCTCGCACGCCGCGCGCCCGTCCGCTCCCGCCTCAAACAACCCGAGCACCACGCCGGCGTAGCTGATGAGGCACGGCACGATCACGTGGTCGTGGCTGGTACTTCCTTCGCACTGGCGCTCCACCGCCAGCTTCAGAGCCCGCGCGATGCCGCCGACGGAATGAACCGCTCGCTCGATCGGGCCATTGGCCTGGTGCTCTTCCACCAGGCTTTCCTCCTCCTTCACGATCTGGTAGGTCTCGCCGAGACTCTCGATGACCTTGTTCTTCAGGCCCAGGATCGCAGGCTCCTGGTCGCTCTCG